CAGTATCACTTCCTGAGTTATTACTGTACAGCAGATTTTGCTCTTTAAATTTTTTTAAATAGCAGTACTGGGTGTTGGACTCATGACACTTTACCACTTGAGCCACACCCCCTGCCCTTTTTGCTTTAATTATTTTTGAGACAGGGTCTCACTTTATGCCAGGGCTGGCATAGACCACGATCTTCTTACCTATGTCTCCTGGAGCTCAGATCATGGGTGCCCACTACCATGACCAGCTCTTTTCTTGGTGGTGGTGGTGGTACCAGATTTTGAACTCAGGGCTATCACTTGAGCCTCACTTTCAGTCCTTTTTTCCCCTGGTTATTCTGGAGATGGGGTTTCAGTTTTTCCCTAGGCTAGCCTGGACCACGATCTTCCTATTTTAGGATTCCTGCTGTCGCTGACAGGCATGTAACACCATGCCCACAGTTACTAGTTGAGATGGGGTCTAGCCTCAAACTGGGAGCCTCCCTATCTCAGTGTCCCAAGTAACTAGGACTAGGCAAGAGCCATTGGCATTTGGCTAACACTTTTTTTTGGCAGTACTGGGGTTTGAACTCAGGGTCTCGAACTTGCTAGGCAAGCACTAGCTTGATCCACACCTTCAGCCTAATGCCCATCTTTTATTGGTTTTGATGGGGGTCTCCCAAACTTTTTGCTGGGGCTGGTCTTGAACCCTGATTGTTCTGATCACTGTACCAGCCTCTGTTGAAATATTTTTATTTGGATATAAATGGTGTTTCTAAAAAAATAACAAAGATCTAGAAGTGGGTATAATTACCACAGTTTTAAAATAATGATGCGCTTAAACAATTCCAAGATAGCTACAACTGTATATGAAGTATGTGATTTCTATTGGTAACAAAGTCAAAGGTACTGCTAACACAGCTATGGTTTGGTAGCTACACTTGCAGTTGAAAATAATTCCAAAGTTTAGTTAGGTTAATAGAAAGCTGTAATTCTTTCTTACACAAATTTACATAACCCTTGAATTCTATATACCTTATGGATCAATTTGTAGACTTTGAGTTTAAAACCTCTGATTGAATAGAAAAAATATTAATAAAGTAAAAACAACTTTGGTTATCAAAACTCAATAAACAACCTATAAAGGCCAGGCATTGTGATGAAAGCCAGGAGTGGGGTAGAGGCAGAAGGATTTCAAGTTCAAGCTACATAGTGAGTTCCAGGCCAGCCTGGGCTACAACATAACAAGAGCCAGTCTCTAAAAACAAAACAAAAACAAAGCCTGATGCAGGTGGCTCACACCTGTAATCCTAGCTACTTGGGAGGCTGAGATCAGGAGGAAGATTGAGGTTTGAAGCCAGCCCAGGCAAACAGTTTCAGCCCCCGTCTCTAAAATAACCAGAGCAAAATAGACTGGAGGTGTGGCTCAAGTTATAGAGAGACTGCTTTGCAAGCATTCCAGTTCAAACCCCAGTCCCACCAAAACAAAACAAAATCCCAATTTATAAAGGCCCTGTTACTCTCCTAAATACACAACAGAACAGTATCAAGATTTTATTCATTCCTTAATTTTCGGAAGATTTGGGCTGTGTAAACACTGATTTGATTCCCAGTACCATTAACAAACAAAAACCAAAAAAAACTTCAGGATTATATAGGAACAAAAATCACAAATATTTTCATCCAATGATTAAATATGCAGCTTAAAATACCAGAACATTTTGAAGAAGTTCTCCTTTATACAATGGCTGTATAATTGAATTAAATCAAATTCAACAACATTAGCTAAGCACCAGTGGCTCATGTCTGTAATCCTGGCTACTGAGGAGGCAGAGATCAGGAGGATTGCAGTTTGAAACCAGCAAAGGCAAATAGTTCAAGACCCTATCTTGAAAAAACACATCACAAAAAAAGGGCTGGTGAAGTGGCTCAAGGTGTAGGTCCAGAGTTCAAACCCCAGTAACTCAAAACAAACAAACAAAAAGCTCTACAACATTGGATTGTGATTAACAACAGGGTAGTGTGGACAACCAACAGAGCTGGATCCTGACTCAGAACAAATGGTCAGTGGCACCCAACAAAGACCCAGTACATGCAGTCAGTCTCAAGTGTTGTTTGGGATGGATGTGAACTCATTATTTCATTGCATGTACTGTGACCCCAGAAGACTAATGACCATTTCCATAAGATGGTCGTTGGCTGTTTGAATCCTTTGTCTGTATGGTACAAGGGCTTAAACATGTCACCTATACTAGTCTTTCTGTCAGATTCACTATAACATCTTCTATTATCCTCTACTTCTCCCTCTCCCCCAAAAAAAATCCCAGGGGAGAAAGCATGGAAGGAATGCCACTTTGCCAGCAATAACAGGTACTGGAGGTGGGTGGGGGGTGGATCCAAGAGATAGCCTAGGGGAGGGACTGGCAACTACCTGCACATGGTAGAGCAGTAGGCCTACTAGGGAAGTACTAAAATGACTCAGATTATATGCCTGATTTCCTGGAAGACTGGCAGACTCACAGGATAAGGGGGGGTTGAGATGAAGGGAAATTGACATACAGATAATGAGTTTCAAGTGACACATTAAACTTGAAATGCCCAGGAGGCAATGAGAAAAGCAGACCATCAGTGACCATCAACTCCTGAGTGCTTGGGGTAGAGGCCCTGGGGTTCATTCACAGTGAGGTTAAAAAAAAAAAAAAAAAAGTAGTCAATCCCTGACTGAAGCAATTTAAGGGGATAGAGTTGTGGCTCAAATGGTTAGAATGCCTGCCTAGAATGGGTAAGGCAGAGCTCAAACAAGTCCCACTATCCTCTCCTACCCACCCCCCCAAAAAAACTGAAGTTGGGAAGTTATTACTTAGCTCAGGCCTGTAATCCTAGCTACTCAGGAGGCAGGCATCAGGAGGATCAAGGTTCGAAGCCAGACCAGGGCAAATAGTTCTTGAGACATTATTTTGTAAAAACTCATCACAAAAAAAAGGACTGGTGGAGTGGCTCAAGGTGTATGTCCTGAGTTCAAACCCTAGTACTGCAATTAAAAAAAAAATCAATTTTCAGCCTGAGATAATTTGTATCCATATTTACAATTTTAGAGAAAACTCAGAAAACTTAATCTGTCAAAAGACACACATAAACCCTGCCCGTTAACAACTTTTCAAAGCAAAATGTCAAGTTATTTAACCTCCCCAGCCTCAGTTTCCTCATCTGTAAAATAAGGGAAATTAACCAGCTGTTTTGAGCTCCTTTCCAGAGCAGTTATATGCCTTAAGAATTGAAAGTGAGGAAAAAAATGTCATAATACTGAGATCCTAATCAGTTTCATCCTTTGGTGGTATGAGGTATTTTTCTCTTTCTAATCTGTTCAGGGATGTTACAGCCTATTGTTAGGGTTACTGCTAAATCTTTCAATCTATTCAGCCATTAAAAAAAATGCTCCTTAAACTACTAACTTGCAAATTTAACAAGGATCACTAATCTGATGAGACAACAGCACCAACTTAAACCCAAAATGAATGAATAACAGAAGCATATTGTATTTTGGTTTAAATTTTTTTAAATCTTACTATAACCGGTTTTGAGGGCTAGTTGCCTGAATTCTTGATCGCATGAATGGCAATTTAAGGAAAAAGTTGTACCCCATGGTATATAAAGACCTATTTCTGTAGGAGACTGAGGAAGAAGGATCTGGAGTTCCAGGTCAGCCTGGGTGGGTTACACGGTTAGACCCTGGCCTCAAAAAAAAAAGAAGGACATGATTTTATGGGCACTATTTAACTATTAACATCTAACTAAAAAACAAGAAACACAGTCTCTGCACCTCAATGAGCTGGCTTGAGATAAAAAAAAAAAAAGTGTTTATCCATCCTGTTCCAAATTCTCACACAATTCTGAGTTCATCCTATCACGAAACCCCACACTTATTTTATCAGGAAGCTGACGTGGTGTACACATCTTATTTCGAAACCAGAATAATTTTTTTCAGTGGTGGAGATCAAACCTGGGGCTTCACGGCCTGCTAATAAGCAGGCACCCCACCTCGGCTAAGCTACAGCCCCATCCTATCCTAATAATTTTTTAAAGAAAGTATTCCAAACTTGACACGGTAAATAAAGTAACTTGTAACTGTTTAACCATTATTGGTAGACGCCCGGTTTATAATCAGCTACTAGAAACCAGGGAGAAGACTGAAGTAGTAACACGTGTTTCCTGGTTTACATCCATTACAAAGTAGTTTTCGCAACTGTTTTTTTTGCACCAAATTATGTCACGACAAAGCAAAGCAATGTCCAAAGGCACGCAGAAAAGGATGGACTTGCCCCCCCACCCCCCAAAAAAAGCGTGCTTGTGACCAAACGCATCACCATCCTTCCGATTCCGCCACAGGGCCCCTGAAGTCCCCGAACCAAGCCAAAGGACGCTCGGAAGCCACAGGTTGGACCAGTCGGGAACGCTGCGGGCCGGCGGGTTCAGTCCGCCAGGACCAATCGAACACTGCAGTGTCACCCGGGCTGTGAGCAATGCAGCTCCTCACGCCACTCTTGCAAGTCACCATGTGGGACAAGGATTGTCAGACAGGGAAGATTGGGGCGGGCATGCCACGAGTCCAGAATAACTCCCGCCCGGAGTCACTTCCCGGCTAGCATGAGTCCCCGGCGCCACGTGAAACGTCCCTTTTCCAAGATCCCAGCATCTCTCCCGGAGCCTCTTCAACGCTGGAGGGAAAGCGACTTCCCCAAGGTCACCGGGCACCATGACCCGATTCCTCGGCCAGGCCAGTGGCCAGCACCTGACCACGGGGCCCAGCGGCTGGGCTGGGAGAGACACTGTCCCCAAGCACCTCAAGGTCCCCTTCACCAGAGCCGCGCTCCGGGGCCACGCGGCTGCCACGACCACGCTGCCCTCTATCGGGCGCCTCCCGCCCTCTCTCCCTCCCCGGCAGACCAAGGTCTGCGCTCGCGCCGGGGTCTCTTCGACCACCCAGGGAGCAGCTAGGGCACCTTGGGGTGCGCGCGGGCTGCGCCCCAACTAACCGTTATGTGCGCGGCTTGCGGCGCCGAGACCGCGCGTGACGCGGCGGCGCGTGCTGAGTTCCTCAGGGCCCGGCTCGTGCCCTTCGCCCGCCGCCGGCTTGGCGCTTTCCAGCACCCACGCGGACAACTCACCCGTCACGTCGCAGCTCGCCACTTTGTCTGGCGGGGCAGGCGCGGCTGCCTTATAACCCGCGGGGGCCGGAGCATGCGCACAGGGGGCGGAGTCGCCCTTCCCGGCCGCCGCCCCCTCCCTGCCATCCACACACTGAGCGGCAACTCGCGCCTCCGCACGCTCGCGGCTGCGCGTGCCCGCTCGCTCGTGCGCGCGCCGGCGCCCCCTCCTCGCCACGTGACCGGCGGCCTGACGGGACCCGCGCGGCGCCCCTGCGCTGAGGAGAGCGTCTCCGGGCGCTGGCTCCGTCCTCGCTCCGCAGTCTCTGAAGAGAAAAGGCAAAGGCCGCCCCAGGGCCCGACCCCGAGGTGTGGGGGACGGTGGCGCGCGGAGTCGCCGTGAAGCGACCCCGGCGCGACTCGGACCCAGGAAGACGCCAGGGGCCGGGGCCAAAGAGCAGGGGCTGTGGACTCGGATGCGCCCGGTTCCAAACCGGCCTGGCACTTGAGGTCAGCGACCTGAGGTAGTCGCTCAGGACCTCCACGCCTGTGTCCTGCGCCAAACTAGCGACAGAAGTAGGACCGACCTCAGAGGCGACCTAGGGAGAGCGGGGCCTGGCGGGGGCATTTGATGAAGGCGGGGTTGAAGGAGAAATCTGAAGCAGTGCAGGTGAGCGGGTGGGACACTGTGGCCCAGGTCGTAGGCTGTGACAGTCCATGATCTCAGGCCACATTGCAAAGTTTGGGACAGGGTGGAATTGCAACTAACGCGGAGAACTTCAGCTGAATTGTTTTCTCTAATCCTCAACCTTTGAGTAGAACTACTGCGAACAATCTACAGCCAGGGGACCTGAGGCTTAAAGAGGTTAAGTAACTTTTAGGAAGTCACCGGCTAGGAAGTGACCAATAGTGATGGATTCTACAGCCTGATTTTGGCTTAAGAGCCATGGTAAATTCTCCACCCAAGTTGAGATACCAAAGTGCGTCTCTTGAAGTGATCAGATTAAATAATCGTAATGTTCCTGATGCCTAAGTCCCTGGAGCAATATTTTAAAAAAAGTATTGATTGAGGACCCTGCCTTAAAAACCTTGCAAGTTCTTCCATGAGACTGCATCAGGCCAAATAATACATTTGAGCACTTGCTGTATACTAAGCCCCTGTCTTTCCCCTTAGGTATTCCTCCATCCCACTTCTCACTCTCACCATCTTCTTCTCATTCCCTCAACCCTTTAATTTCCACTACCTTGCAGTTTCTGTTTTGCAAATAAAGAATCTGAGACTGAGAAGTAGGGGATTGCAGCATCAGGTCCTGGGAGGTCCCATGTACTTTCTTTCACCCACTCTGCCTCTATCTCAGGCCATGAAAAAGTTTTCAGTAAGAGTTCAACATGTTAGTATAAAACAGTCCAAGTACAGCTTGTGAGAGATAATGACTTTTTACATTCGATGCATGCAGAGAATGGGAGGACACTTCTGATCAGTGGGGTAACCTGGACTTGGCCACCAGTGTGTCAGGATTTTTAGAGTGGCAGCAGCATTCAGGTAGATGGTTTGGAAAGCTGAGTTAGGGAGACCGGGCTCTGGTTCAGGTGTGAGTCTATCAGGACCTGTGCTATGGAATGTGGTGAGAAGCACTGGTAGGTTCACAGTGTGGTCCTGGAAGCCAGGTCTCCTGTTCCACCTTTGATAGTTGGCATTTACTAGCTCTGTGCTCTTGGGCAACTCATGCTACCACTCCAAGCTTCATCTTCCTCATTGGGTTATTATGACAATAGAACTAACATTTGTGTCAGACCTTAATATATTTCTTTTTTCTGTCCTGGGAGTGGAACCAGAGCCTGTTAGACAAGTGCCTGCCTGCCTGCCTGCTTTCCTTCCCTTCCTTTTTTTTCTGTTCTTGAAAAATCTTATTTTCAGGACTGGGGGACTGGGGAACAAAAAAAGAAAGAAAGAAAAACAAAACAGATTTTAACCCTAAAGTCTCCTCACTTTAATAGGACTCTTCTTCCAAGGCTCATCCTGAGCAAGGTCTTAGCAATATATTCATACTGTCATACTCAATATATTCATAGTACGTACATATCGTAATTTTCCTTTTTTTTTTTTTTTTCTTTTTTGAGGATAGCTAGCAAAATTATAGCTACCTCAGACCCTATGAAACTGGCTCTGCCCCTGATAGGGACCTAGTGTTGTAAAGGGTATAGGCTTTTGGGTCAAAAGAACTGGTTTCACTCTTGGGGATATACCCAAAAGACTGTTACTCCAGAGGCACCTGCACATCCATGTTTATTGCGGCACTATTCACAATAGCCAAGTTATGGAAACAGCCAAGATGCCCCACCACTGACGAATGGATTAAGAAAATGTGGTATCTATACACAATGGAATTTTATGCAGCCATGAAGAAGAACGAAATGTTATCATTCGCTGGTAAATGGATGGAATTGGAGAACATCATTCTGAGTGAGGTTAGCCTGGCCCAAAAGACCAAAAATCGTATGTTCTCCCTCATATGTGGACATTAGATCAAGGGCAAACACAACAATGGGATTGGACTATGAGCACATGATAAAAGCGAGAGCACACAAGGAAGGGGTGAGGATAGGTAAGACACTTAAAAAACTAGCTAGCATTTGTTGCCCTTAACGCAGAGAAACTAAAGCAGATACCTTAAGCAACTGAGGCCAATAGGAAAAGGGGAACAGGTACTAGAGAAAAGGTTAGATCAAAAAGAATTAACCTAGAAGGTAACACCCACGCACAGGAAATCAATGTGAGTCAATGCCCTGTATAGCTATCCTTATCTCAACCAGCAAAAACCCTTGTTCCTTCCTATTATTGCTTATACTCTCTCTACAACAAAATTAGAGATAAGGGCAAAATAGTTTCTGCTGGGTATTGGGGGGGGGAGAGGGAGGGGACGGAGTGGGTGGTAAGGGAGGGGGTGGGGGCAGGGGGGAGAAATGAACCAAGCCTTGTATGCACATATGAATAATAAAAGAAAAATGAAAAAAAAAAAACTGGTTTCATCACTAAGTGTGGTGGTGCACACCTGTAATCCTGGTACATAATGAGACCCTGTTTCAAAAAAAAAGATGAAAAGGACCTGGTCCCACCACTACTATCTGGGCAGTTAATTCACTGAACTCTTCTGGGCTTCAGTTTCCTCCCCAAAGTAAACTGAAGATAATACAAGTCTGAGCTGTTGTGATAATCAAATGAGATAGTATTTGCAGTAGTGATTGGTATTTCTTGGAAAGTGCTCTGCAAGTGTTTATGAATTAATATTGTTAGAATTTGTCTTTATAAAGTGCAAAAAAGAGAAAGAACTAAAGAAGCCCAAAGAGTTGGTATGTAGCTTAGTGGTAGAACACATTCCTTGCAATATACAAGGCCCTGGGTTTGATTCCCCAGCATCAGAGGGGGGCAGGAGGTAAAGGTTCTTTGCTGAAAAGCAGTAATAGGGTGGGTGAGATGAAGAGAATGCTAAAATTACAGGCGGGGTGGACCTGGGAGCCAGATTTATGCCAACTTTTATAGTTGGTACTAAGTTCGAGCCCTTAGGCAAGTCATTTTACAACTCTAAGCCTCATTCTCCACTTTACAAAAGGATAATACCTACCTCATAGGGTTATTATAACAATAAAATTAGTACTTATTTCAGACCTCATTTTTTTTTTTCTTTCATTCCTAGAGATGAAACCAGAGCCTGCTGGTACAGGTAAAATTCTTGTCCTTCTGCCAGGTATTCTTGAGTTAAGCTATGAGATGGAAAGAATAAACTAAGAAGCATAGGATGAGAATTTCAAGCTGAGAAGGGCAGATCATTTAGCATACCCCACATTTTACACAAATGGAAATAGAGGCCTGGAGAAGCCACCCATCTAATGAATGGCACAATCTGAAGAACTAGATACACAAGCTCCAGGTTTGTAGCAAGTACAGTCTTCAAGACAAAAGCATTTTGCTGGAGGCATGGCTCAAGTGGTAGAGTGCATGCCTAGCAAGCACTAAACCTTGTTTTGCCCCACCAAAAAAGAAAAAAAGATAAAAGCATTTTGTCATGGGGTCTTTGAAAATCAGAGAAGGCATGGTGCTCCCTAGTGGTTTTTAGCTTTATGGTCAAAATTCCCAGGATTCACATTGTCTTTCTTAAAGGTTGACAGCCTGGATGATGCTATGCTGATCTGCCTCAGGGAAATGCTGTACTGAACTGTTGTTTGCAAAGTTGTTAAGTGAGCAAAACTCTGAATATTTCTAGGTAAGAGTTTTAACTTTAGATATTAGTGATGAGATGAGAAATGCAAATGCAAAGCTGTGTGTAGTGGTGCACCTTTATAAGCCCAGCATTGGGTAGGCTGAGGCAGAAGAATCCCGAGTTTGAAGGCAGTGTCTGCTACATAGCAAGACCCCTATCTATGTAGCAATAGCTGGACATGGTGGCTCATATCTGTAAACCCAGCTACTTGAGGGGCAAAAATCAGGAGTTTCGAGGTTGAAGCCAGCCCAGGCAGAGTTAGTGAGATCCTACCTCAAAAACAAAATAAAACTGAGGCATAGCTCAAGTGATAGAGCATTTGCCTAGCAAGCATAAGCTACTGAGTTCAGTCATCTGTACCACAAAGAAAAGGGGAAAACAAGCAAACAGAAACAAATGCAAATGCAAAATTTGAAAATTCTAACAATGTAGATATTCTTCAAGTTAAGTAAGTTGTCTCATTGATTTTTCTGGAAAGGAGAAAAATAAAATGACTGTGTTTTGCTGGAAAACTGAAACTACTTAACTCACATTTCCTCAATGATTCCATCATTTTTGTGATGTACGAAATAGGAAGTTGCTATTATCCCCATCTCACTAACCATAAATAATACAAGGAAGCATTCTTTTGAACATAATCCACTAAGAACCTTCCCCACCCTCATAATTTACAATTAGCAGGGAAAACAAAGTTTGTTTTTGAGCCATTAAGAGTAACGGAAATAATGCCATTCCTAAAAACATTCTGCCATGTGTGGGACAC